TAAAGTAAAAATTAAATATTATTTTTAACATTTTTGGGAACACTTTTTTCAAGAATTATTTGTACGACATAAGACACTTAACTTTTATCAAGATGCCACCAAAGAAAAAGAACGAAGTAGGAGAAGAGGATGTACCTGTACCAAGAATTTCAATTAACGACTTAGAAAAATCAATGACACCTTTTAGTGGTGATAACGATTACGCTATCGACTCATGGATCGAAGAATTTGAAGAAATATCGTCACTCATGCAGTGGAGTAATGTTGAAAAATTTATGTGCTCAAAGAGGCTTCTCGTCGGGACCGCTAAGTTATTTATGAAAACATCGAACTTGAAAAGCTGGGAGACTTTAAAAAACGAACTGAAGGAAGAATTTGGAAGTAAGTTGAACAGCGCCACTATTCACAAAACACACATCTCACGAAAAATGAAACCAAATGAGAATTATCAGCAGTACTTTTTACACATGAAGGAGATATCCATGCTCGGTGTGATTAAAAATGCAGTTTTAATGGACCACGTGATTGATGGTATACGGGACAGAGACGAATAAATAGATTTTGTACGGGGTGAATACAATGAAAGAATTTCGGAGGAAGCTAAAACTATATGCTGAAATAAAAAAGAAGTCATCACTGAACAATCCTCAACAGTCACGGCGTGCCCCTATACCAAGCACATCTTGAGGATATACAAATATTCCCGTAAGACGATGTTACAACTGTGGAAATACAAACCATCAGTCGCCAACTTGTACAAAAGGTGTAAAATCCTTCAAATTGATGTGATTGACTTGATTTGACTTATTTTTTATACAACAGTTTTCTTTTCATTCTATTAGTAAGAACAAAGAGACTAATAGTCAAACTAGTAAACTAAGAAATATTTTACTAACGATTTAAATATTTGTTTAAATTTTTTAACATAAAGAAAATTTCATTAGGACAATGATATGACAAAATCCATTTGACGTAGCAAGTGCGACCGCAAACAGAACATGACCACAAATTTTTGTTTAGAGTATACTATACAGGCGTGACGAGTTTGTAGTTATTCAAGTATTACATAGGGGTTAATTTTTCACGAACTCTATTAATATTGAAATAGGGAGTGTCAATCGAGTGCGTACGCAAAAAATACTTTAATACGTATTAAATAACAGAAATTACATGGAATGTTAATAGTTGATTGCCACCTTAGTCATTGAGTTAAAAGATAACATTGTAATGCTGTATCAAGTTCTAAGGTTTTCATGATTGTTACACAATGGAAATTATATTTTTTTCGGATCTAAATCTATATTTAATAACCTTTAGGCTTTTTACAGGCCTAAAGTCATGGCTGACTGCGATAGTAAAGTCATCAACCAGACATCTGTAAAAAAATTGGTATTTTTTATAATAATATAAAGTGACGGTACGAACAAGTCGTACGCCTGGTGGTCAGCGACACGCCTGTCCATAGCAGTTGCAGTGCCACTCAGAGCTTTTAATTGCAAAGATCTGAGAGGCGCTACCACCGAGTCCGTCGCCTTGAGACATAAGCTGACAAGTCCTATGTGCCTGAAATTTTACCAACACCCTTACACTTCAAAACCGGAAAGCAGTAATGTGAGCATTACTGCTTTTCGGCAGAAATAGGCAATTTATTTATTTATTTATACATTTTAGGAAAATTCACGGACAAATAATACAATTATAGTATACTTAAATACGAGCAATCCAATACCATTTACGAATTTCCATCGACATGAAACAATATAAAAATATGAAACAATATAATATAAAGTGCTAAGCAAGCCAAAAACAGATTATAAGAGAAAACAAAGAATACAGTTACTAAATTTAAAAAAAAACATAAAAATTTTAAAATAATAGTCAATGAAACTAACAAACCAGTGTGTTCATCGCCAATCACGTGATGTGTCAAAGTGACGTTTGGTCATTTCTCGCCTAACTAAGGTTGACGCTCGTCTTATTCTTATTTTTTTAAATTGTGGTGTTCTATTTTTACGATAGGCTATGGCAGAATATCAGCGACGGCTATGTAATTAGCATTGTTCTCAGATGCTGAGTCATGGACCATTTTGACATGCTTTTTTTGCTTATTTGTTTTGAGTTATTTTTTCTATAATTTTGTTTTTCTACTTTTTCTATTACTTTTTATGTATTTATGAACGAATTATTTAATATTTTATAATTGTTTGTATTTTAAAATGTATTTTGCATGTCAAATACACACGATTTTATTTTATTTTATTTATTTTTTATTTTCTGCTTCTGAATTGTTTGGTGGTTCGAATGTAAAGCTGAGTTTCCAAATGCTGACGTGTTATTGAAATAATATATAAAGTATTAAAAACTAAAGATAACGATAATGCTATTACTCAAACTTCCTTTAATGAAAAGTTTCGAAATCGGTGGATAACGAAAGTGAATCATTTCCTATACAGTGACATAGGCAGATACAAATTGAAGATCTGATGACATACGTCAGTATATTCATTGTATACATTTGTCAATGTTTAGTTGCAATACCTATTACTATCGGTGAAAGAAAACATAGTGATCGTGAAACCTGCACCACATGAAGGTTGACAACCCTTGGAATACGACGACGTCGATGACTACAGCAAATTTCATTTGCATACCCGCCACGGTACGGCACCTCCTGGTGTTCATCTTGTACCAAGTTACTTACGTTACAGTAATGTGAACATTACTGCGTTCTGTTTTCTTTTTATAATATCAAGAGACGGGACGAACAAGTAAGATGGTTAAGACGGGTAAGGGTGCTGGTGAAATTACAGGCGCATGGGACTTGTCAACTTAGGGTGACGGGCGCAGTGGCAGTGTCCCTAAAATCTTTGCGATTTAAAGTTCTGAGTGGCACCGCAACTGTTATGGATAGGCGTGACGCTTCTCTTCAGGTGCACGACTTGTTCGTCCCGAAAAAAGTCTACACCATCAATACAGAATACAAAAAAATTGCAATAACAGTTGAATAGTAGCTGAATGGCAAGCCACTACTTTTAGCAGAACACCAAATGTACAAAATCCTACCACTGCCACACAACTCAGATAATTTAAAATTAGCAGAGATGGGGCCCAGTCCACATCTTCCCGTGGATGTCAATGTTAACAGCGTTATTACCATGTAAAAACACTCTCAAACTCAAGCTCTTTTCATTTGACACACAATAAGATAAAGAGTAATAAACCTGTGAATTGCATTGCAACTATACTGCGATCGTATGTTACCCAAAAGTGGCGGTTATGACGAATATACATTACCGCAGAAATGTAAATAGTTGTACTATTTTCTTAATATATCTTGGCAATATGCATGTTACAGTTATTCACGGATATGTAACAATTGTCCTTTACGCTTGGTGCAGGCAGAACGCACTTAATCGACTTGGAAGCATATACATAGTTACACATAGGAAATGAAACTATTTTTCCGGATTTAAATCAGGATGCAGGAGTTTACAAGCTTGACTGTGAGTGCGGTCTCTCTTATATTGGACAAACAAAGCGAAGTATTTGTACCCGCGTCAAAGAACATATAGCTGATGTCAAACACCGTCGCGTAAACAAGTCTGCAGTCTGCGACCATGTCATGGATAAACATACAATTCAATGAAGTTTGACAAACAGGTCCTTGCAAAAGAAGCCCGTTATCTACCCAGGATGCTGCGAGAGGCCATTGAAATTAAAAAATATCCTAATTTCAACAGGGAAGATGGTTTCTCCACCACCAGTTTGGGATCCAGTATTTCCTCTAATGAAAAATCCCAAACAGACATAAGACTGCAGTACTAATTAATATGTTTTAGTGTTAATCTAATTTCTATTAATAATTAATAATAAATTGAACTTAATAAAAATTCATTCGATAAAATAATTTGTAAAACTTAATATAGCGTAAATTGGAATGTTTCCTTTGTAAAATTAAAAATAAGGTATTTAATTAATAACTATTGTAACTATAGTGAAAAAATAGGGTGGTTTGCATCAATGGTTTGTTTGAAAAAACAAATATACGCGATTTAAATCCAAAAAAATAGGTTCATTTCAATAACATAATATTGAAAATTAAAGATTCATTTTTATTTATATAAAAGAAGAACACTTTTTCCAATATACATTTTTTTTGTTGCCGAACCGACCGACCGACCTCAAAAGTTTACATCGTTTGCCAAGTATTATTAAAATCGGTTAACAGAAAGTGGGTAAAGTTCAATAAACCTGATTCATCTCCTAATTGGCCACCTGTAGAGGTGGAATATTTGCTTCAAATTTTAATGGCACCACTTCTCAGACACACCTTTATAACAAGAAAAAAGAATCATCGAAATCGGTTCACAAATGTCAGAGTAATCGCGTAACATACACACAAAAAAATACAGTCGAGTTGAGTACCGCCTCCTTTAATTTTAAATGGGTTAATGAAGGGAAATCTACAGATTACAATTTTTACAGTTTTACAGCTCTTTATAGTTTACATGGAAAGCAAAACAAAACAACATTATAGTACATATTACTTAGTTCTCTTATAATTAATTACTAGCCATGGAAATTTGTATTCGGATGCATTCGGAAATCCGAAGATTGCCGAGAAATATTATAAACACACGCAAAATAGGCGCCTTGACGTCGAGGACACCAGCCCGTTACAACCAAGTACTATTTTTTTATTTATTTTATTTGTTTATATTAAGAAAATATTTATTATTATTATTTTGGATACCTACTTTAGATTCTATCTATTATTATAATACCTTATAATAAATAAAATAAATAAAATATCTTTATTTTCAGACTACAGGGTCCATAGATTGTTAGTAAACAGAAAAACCTTAATAACTATGTTAGTATTACAATAATAATAATAATAATAATTTAATAATCTTTTAGGCCTTGGGAGAGGCGAGAGTTTAAAATAAATACAATAATAATAATAATACTTGCTAAAGGGTACACCGCTGTCGGCAGAGTCACCGAGGTGCACGAGTAGCGTGCAGCTCGTTGAACCTGCCGAGCACTGCACCATCCAGCCTTCCTTCAACTACCTGTAAAAGACTGTTGGAGCTTCCCCTCACTCTTCGAATTAGAGAAGCAACTTTTTTACGCATAAGCGCAAAAAAGTCGTCTGTGTGCGCATCGGCAAACATGCCCGAAGCACTGCAGTGTCGAGGAAGCCCCACCATCATCCGGAACAGGTTGTTGTACAATATGCGCAGGGCGCTGTATGATTTTTGAGAATAACTAGTCCACAGACTGCTGGTGTAAAAAATTTGGCAGAATGCTTTGAACAGAGTGACTTTGACATTAAGTGTACAACCAGCAAATCTCCGAGCCAGCATATTCCCTCTTACAGACAGCGCCCTGCGTTCCCTTTCTATATCGCAGTCATCCTTCAAGTCTTCATTGACAATGTGCCCTAGGTATCTAAACTGCGTGACTCTCTTCAGTGGTGAACCATTGAGGTACACTGGAGGGACAGAGTTTGGTGGTTTATTTCTGCCTTTAAATACCAAGAGTTCACTTTTATTTGAATTATACTTCAACCCGTGTTTATTGGCATAATCCTCACAGATAGCCAACAATTTACGCAAACCGCCAATCGTAGGCCCCAGGAGCACCATGTCGTCTGCGTAACTTATGTTATTAAAACATACACCATCAACGTGACACCCCACATGAAACAAGCGTACACAGGTGTTTTACGATCTAAGTAGTATTTGACAGTGTGCTTTAGGGCCAGTATAGCACTTTCAGCGGACACCCCCTCCCGGAAGCCAAACTGCGCATCATGTAGCCTGGTGTGTTCACACAAATGCCTATCAAGCACACTGTCAAACACTTTTGCTATTACAGTAGCCAGTGAGATTGGTCTGTAATTCCCCTTGTCCGCTATGTCTCCTGTCCCGTTCTTCACAATTGGCACAACAACTGTTTGCATCAGGTTCTGTGGTAGGTATGAATGTCCTAGACACAAGTTGAATAGCAACATCAACACCCGCGGAAGATGAGCACCTGCATGCTGCAAACTGCTCAATGCTGAGCCCGTCATGGCCAGGCGATTTACCTCTTTTCATGTTATTAATTGCTTCTTTAATTTCTTTGCAAGTGAAAATAAGACGTGCACCCGACCGCGCCGGGCCCCCATTCCACACCCGCCGTGCTGTTCCGCGTGGTGATGTTACTTTAAAGTGACTCTTAAAAAAAACGCGTCCCTTACAACACCAATCTTCAGGCTTCTTCTTCTTCTTCAAAGGCTTCTTACAATTTTGCCGATTCCGAATCAAACAACATTAACATAATGTAAATAACATTTCATTTCTTCCACAACAGCAACTTGTCCATTCGTGCTAATGGGGACAATACAGCCACTCAGTCATAAATAAACAACCAAGGTGTCCACCACTTACATCAATCCTATAATACTCGAGTAATTCATGGTAGTGATGGCTTAGACCACATTTACAACATTTTACATAACGAAATTACAAACAATGCACAAAATGCTAAACAAGACAATTACTATACAATACAATACAAATACTATACAGTACGTGAGTCGCTTATGACTAATCAGATGATGTCATCTAAACGATTATAGTTGAATATATCAAAATTATATCAAAAAAAGCTGTCAACTTTTCTTTTTTTTAATAATCCGCTTAAGCACACCTTGTATAAAGGTAGACGTTGTGATTGTTTATTAGGGGACAAATCCCGGAACACGTCTGAACTCTTTCCAGATTTTGATGTTGCCAGAAGTCGTGCGACTTGTTGTTGGCAACACGTATCGTATTTGTCCACTAAAAATACTCCATAGATAACTAGCACACCGAAACAAACTTTAACTTACCTTCTGGAAGATACCCAGTAGTCTGGTCGTGGTGTTTCCAGCAGCTGTCATGGCTTCCCGAGTTCTTCCCACGGAAGGCAACTTTGTGGTCACCACTCTATGCGCGCCAATTGTGCCCAGGGTGTAAACGTTCGATTCGCCTGTAAAATTGTATCAGCTAGAGATACTGCGTAGTGGACCATAAAGTATAGAATGATAACTTTTACTTTAGGGGAAGGATTTACTGGTAAATCGAGTAAGAAAAATAAAGAATATGGATTTGGTCGTTTCTATAATTACGCTAAATAATAGGGGTTAAAGTATGAAATTGCCGATTTGTACTGAAAATCTAAATTGTTTATTTTTTAAATTTTTAACAAATTTATTTAATCAAAATAGTTGCCATTATTATCTATACATTGCTGCCATCTAATGGGAAGGTTATTAATGCCTTTGCGATAGAACTCCGACGATCTAGACTGCACA